AGATGGATCCCACCAAGAAGATCCCACTTGGTTGGGAGAAGGAGCCCTGGTGGGGTAGGTCACATCCCAGGGTGCTGGCTGGGCCACAGGGCTGGCAGTGTGATGCACAGGCTCAACATTCCTGGGCTCTTGCTGACCATCTTGTAAGACAAGGGAGGGCACAAGAGCTGGCCCTGCTCCCTCAGGGGGCCGGGGAGGCAGCATCCTCCTCTCTCTCTTTCCACTTAGGAGGCAAGTGGTGCGAATAAGCTCTACTGGTCCTGGAAAGGCCTTCTCCATCTCCTTTTGTCCTCCTGCTCCACCTGACATGCTTCAGGCCTCAGCATGGCTCCACTCCAGGCCCGGGGACCATGCCTCTTTCCTGCTGCCCATCTTTCTGCCCCAGGTGGGAGGGGCCTTGCATCTCACCAGAGGGGTAAGTTCCAAGACTTAGGTTTAGGCAGGGGACACAGGCCGAGATGCCTTCTTAAAGCTGGCTTCGGTTCAAGGCCACATCATCGTGGAACTGGCTTGGGCAAACACACCCTGTGTGGTCCAGCCTGACCCCCGGACTTGTCTGTCAGGGTTTGGGGCCAATGTCTCAGCTGATAATAAAGAGCTACTTTACCATCATCCCCTGTGCAAACATCTTCCTCAGGGACTTGTGGGGAGACAGGAGGCTGGGCCAAGGCAGGACAGAAGTGGTCCTGGATCTTCAGGTCAAATGAGACCTATGTTACAACTGCAAACCACAAGACATCCCAGGGTAGACTTAATGAGGAGAAGCAGAGTGCTGTATTACAATACTCCCTTTATGGGGGCTTCATCCAATAATGTGCCCTGTGTTTTCGTCACCCTGGCTTAAGTGTTTATGGAGAGATTTATGTTGAGAATGGAAACCAGTAAAATTTTAGCTTATTAATAACTTATGGAATACAAATATGTTTGTGAGTTTCCACAGCTTGTGAAAGTGGTTGCATGGACTTTCACCAAATTTGGTGGGTATGTTCGAGATGGCCTAAGTTGGTGTATGAGGAGTAAGCCCTGGCAGGCCTCAGAGACAGGCAGGGTCCCGCCGAGTGACTGACAACGAGTCACAGCAGGGCTCCTCTAAAGCAGAAGGGGGAGGGGGAGACCAGAAGACAGTGTGATGAGCCTGGCTGCACAGCCGCCCCTCTTTCTGCTGTTCTACACTGTTCAGAGGGTGGCCCACTGTTTCCTCTGTGGCCAAGCCTTAAGTCAGCTGAGCCTCCTGTCACCTGTCACATGGTGCTGATTCTAACTGATTCTGTAGCTCATACTGTATGACCTTAAGTAATCATCAAGTCAAGGGCTTACCCTTGGTTTCTGAGTCACCAGGTAGGGCTGGGCAAGGTAGCGTCCCATGGAGATGGAGGCCAGCAGTGGACTAGCGTGGGGTGCCAGAGCTCAAATGGGGTGAGGGGACACTTTTTGGCTTGGGGTGGTGGTAACCAGAGATTGGTTTTGTATAGAGGTGACTGATCCAATGTAAATGTATTGAGGATAAGAGACTGCTGGGGAAAAGAGAATGAAAGGAAGGCAGGCAATTAGAACGAACCTCAAGAGGACCTGGGAACAATGGCACATCCAGTACCCAGATTTGATTTTCAACTACCAAAGGAATCAAAGCTCCTTGGAGTAATAGCAGATCCCGGGCTGGGGTAGAGAAAGTACAAGATGAGCCTGCAGCACTTTGTTGTGCCAGAAAGTAAGCAAGAGCTCAAGACAAATGGAGAGATATAAAATGACGCAACACCAGCTGGAAGGAGGGGCTTGTCCAGTGGCCATATCTACGACAATTTGGGCATCAAAAGAAAAATGGTAACAACACATATTAGAAGCCACTGGATAAAACAGGAATCCATAGGTCTATACAGACAGAAATAAATAGGGGAATAAATACACGGAAGGCTGGGTGCGGTGGCTCACGCCTGTAATCCCAGTACTTTGGGAGGGTGAAGCGGGTGGATCACCTGAGGTCAGGAGTTCAAGACCAGTCTGGCCAACATGGTGAAACCCCATCTCTACCAAAAAATACAAAAATTAGCCATGTGTGGTGGCTCGTTCTGGTGGCCCCAGCTACTCGGGAGGCTGAGGCATGAGAATCACATGAACCCAGGAGGCAGAGGTTGTCGTGAGCCAAGAATGCACCACTGCACTCCAGCCTGGGTGACAGCGAGTTCTGTCTTGAAATAAACACATGCATGCATACTTACATACATTCATACATACATGTATGGAGACAAGAGAAAGCTTTTTCTTACAGTAGGATGCCAACTAATAAATGCATAAAAAATGATGGAATTGGGAAATTATCATTTGGCCACCATCATAGTAATACTTCAGCCAACCAAGAAACATTGATGGGTGTGAATGTTTGATGAGGAGCCAGATACTTGCAAAGGCTTAAAGTCCCTCCCTACACAATACTAATTAATGACAAAGGGGCAAAAGCATTATCTACCTGAATCACCTGATCAAAGTTAACCTCACCAGCAAAGGGACGAAATCAGGCACCTGCAGGACGCGGTGGAAAGAGCACAGTGCCACATCCGGGATACTCCTGCCAAAGATCCCGAGTCTGCATTGGATCATGAGGAATCCTCCGGCAAGCCCAACTTGAGGGATATTTTACAAAAGACCTGACCTATAGTCTTAAAAAATTCCCCAGGAATTGTGCCAGATTGAAGGAGACAAAAGACATGTGACAACTAAATGCAACATGTGATTCTGAACAGGATCCTTTTGTTAAAATGGATGTAGTTGGGACAACTGGCAAAATGGAAATAGGGTCTGAGGATTAGATGGTAGCGATGCGCTCACGCTGCTTTCCTGATGTTTTTGTTGTGTGGAGGTCATCCTTGTTTGTACTTGGGGGTGGTGGGGCGACTGCTTTCAAATGGCTCAGGAAAAAGAGGTATTTTTATTTGTATTACAACTTTGCTGTAGGCTTTAAATCATTTCAAAGAAAAAAGTTTTTAAAAAGTTATTAAGTATCTCCTCACAGTTGGGCATCTTAAATCAGAGTTGTGGTTAAAAGCTAGCTTTACAAAATATGATACATGCGTACAATGGGATACATTCAGCCTTAAAAGGGAAGGAAATTATGACACTTGCCATAACATGGATGAACCTTGAAGACATTTTGCTAAGTGCAACAAGCGAATCACAAAAGACAAATACTGTATGATTCCGCTTTATACAGGAGTCAAACTCATGGCAACAGGAAGCACAATGGTCGTTGCCAGAGGCTGCAGGGAGAAGGATGGGAAGTTAATGTGTAAAGGGTACAGAGTTTTAGTTTGGGAAGATAAAAAGTGCTGGAGATGGATGGTGGTGCATGGTTGGCTAGCAATGTGAGTGTACTTAATACCAGTGAACTGTATACATATAAATAATTAAGAAGTAAACTTTGTTATGTGTATCTTATCATTGTTTTTAAAATTGGGGGAGGGGAGAACAGGCTTTGAAGTGAACCCTGGCTTGGACTCTCAGCTCTAATACTTGTCACTGACAAGTGCTTGTCAGTGGGGATGACAGTGTTGTCTTTGTGGGGCAGAGCTAGAGTGCCTGCAGGAAGCCCTGCAGTGCAGGGGCTGGGGTGGACAGCATACGGCATGCACTTGCAGTGGGTGAACTCCCCTTATCATTGCTCATCACGGACTCCACAGCTCTGCAAGGCTGCTGTTGTTTCCCCCAGTGCCCTCCCTTCCCATCTTTAATAAATGCCAGCCACCCAAAGTCTAGTCTTGCTATCCTCTCCTTTCCAGGAACTTCCACTGGAGACAGAGAGGTGAATCGTGTCCCAGCTAAAGGCATACGTAAAAATGTACAGGCGCTGATGTCTCTGGAGACAAGGATGGAACTGGTAACAGCTTCTAGAGGGGGTATCTGAGAGACTGGAGGGACACTGGTGGGAAACTTCTCACTGCTAAACCCATTTGTACCCTTTGAATGTGTTCCCACTACAAGCTTATCTATGTAAATAAAGAAATGGATAGTGTCAACCTAAACAACAGTCTAACTAAAAGAAAATAACATTATTCAAGACATTGCAATAGGAATATGCATGCCATGGCAAACTCTGTGTGCATTCAGGCAGGTAAAGAAAAAGGTTTTTAAAGAAAATAGGAGAGGATTACATCATTGAGATAATTATCCTTGGCTACAATAACAAGGATCAATAACAAGGGTGGCATCAGTCCAAGGTGGGACAGGCAGTTGCCGGGCACATGTCCTCACAGAAGAATTTGTGTATAAGGCTGCAGTGGCCTTCGTGCAAGGCTGTGGTTTTTGCAGTCTTGTGATAGTTTTTTGTTATCAGGCATTCCTGCATGAGAACCTTTCCCTTTTCATGGCCTTCCCCAACTCTATGTATATGGGTTTTTTTAACATAAGTGACTCCATTTTGACTCTGACAGCTTTCACAATAATCAAATTGCCAGAGGGACCCCTCCTCTTCCCCTTCTCTCTCATACCCTTCAGCCCACTGCCACCTTGCAGTAGCCCCAGCTCTCCATTCAAACTGTTCTTGCCTTTGTTGATAAATTCAATGAATTTCTTCCTTGATCTTCCTGTCTGCTCTGTGGGATTTTGACATTTCAAACACCATGTCCCTCTGCTTCACAGAAACCAGTGAGATATATCCACTATTAGAAGAAGGGCCACATCTGTCCCAGCCACTGCTGTAGTCCGATGGCAAAGCACATTGCTTGGCATACTTGTGCCATATATTACATATGGCATGAACAAACCGTTACACAAAAAAGCAAAATCAAAACAAAACCTCCTACCAACCTTAACACAAAAGTAGGCTCAATCATTGCACTGGCAAACTCACAAAAGACATCTTGATGTGTAAATAGCCAGAAATAAAGGCAGAGGCCATCCATTTTTAAGTAAAGCAGTCTTGGTTGTGATATTGTACCACCTTTGTGTAAAACGTTACCATTGGGGAAATCAGGTAAATATCAATGTTTATACAGTCTATGTTTTAAAAAAACTACATGTGCCCCTTCAATTATTCACATGTAAAAAGTTTAACTTTAAATACAGCAAGAAGTACAAACCTGATCTGTCAGTTGAAGAAAACATCTACCAATTGGAGGATCATTTAATGGGTAAATCAAACAAATGCTACAAGACAATTGGTCAGGGCATTTTTTAGTTGCAAGCTGCAAAAATGCAAATAAACCAACATAGTAGGAGTAGGTATTGGGCAGCAGCAACTCAGGGCAGGGCACACACCTAATGAAGCCATGGCTGTAAGGGAAGAGGTGGAAAGCGGAATGCCAGTGGCGGCTGCCTGTATTTGGAGAGACCTTACAAGAAAGAAATGAGCCTACAGACAAGTTTTCCAGTTTGTCAGCAGAAATTAAAGAGGGACAGTCCAGATATTTGAGGGCCTGTAATGTTGAATAAGTAAACTGACTCGGCTGCAAACAAGAAATAAATGCAGAAAACAGTGGCATGACAAAGGTCTCAGTGTGAAGATGAAGGATGTGGCACCCCCGCAAACTTTCCAGCTGGACAAAACGGCTCAGGGGAAAAAAAAAAGTCTGGTTTTTTTTTTTTTGCACAGAAGCACCACAGGTTTAAATCTAGACTTAAAGTTTAAATCTAGAGAGGATGAGGGTAAGGGAGTGAAGAAATATAGCAGATTTGAGAACTGAGTCACAAAAAAGGAAATGTTGATTGTGGCTTCTGGCCCACGTTACTGAATGGAATCAATCAGGTAAAATTTCTACTACATTTTTGAAGCTCATTCTGACAAAAACAAAACAACTTCAGAAGCCCAAGTTCCAGAAGTCTCTGTTCAAAACTCAAAATGTTCCTTGGGTCTCCAATCTTGTAGAGGATGAGGATTGAGAAGGCTGCACAACCTCTAATAGAGTATTGAATGTCTCTTTCGGGTGTGGCCAAAGAGGAGGATGGGAAGGGAGGATAATGGAAATGAAAGAACCTAGCAGAGGGTGAAGCCAGAGGCCAGAGGACAATGGAATGGGGAGACCCTGCTAAAGAATGGAACCAAGTCCTAAACAAGGAACATCTGCCAGCCTAGGTTAAGTGACCTCACAGCAGCTGCCAACTGGGATTTTGGAATTGCCATGGGCCAGGAATGACAAGGCTTCCCATGCTTCCCTTTTCTAACTGTTCCTGTTGCTTATCAGGTGAGATATTGGGCAACCTGCATTTTAATTCTTAGGTCTAACAAAGGAGCTGCCTGGTTCCTCCTGTACAGATGTCCTGAACCATGGGTTGGATGCAGTGACTAGATGGTACTTTGGGATCATCTTCCATGCAGCAGGATGAGTATCTTTGTAGGGAAAATACACCATATATTTGGTAGTCAGAAAGGCCGGGATAGACTTCTAGTATGCACCCATATTTAATTCTCGTCTTGTTCCAGGCACTTGCAATGGGAGAATTTTTTTAAATGACATAGTAGTCTTGCCTTTCAGGAGTTGTTGGACACACATGCAAGCATGATTTAAAATGTTTCCTAAGCAAATGTGATTTTTAGTGTGCATCAGAACCACCTGGAGGGCTTGCTGGGGCCCTCCACATCTCTTGAGTCTGGGGTGGGGGACACATTTTGAACAAGTCCCAGGGTGATGCTGATGCTGCTGGTTGGGGATATGTTCAGAACCACTACTGTAATTGATCTGTTAGCACTTATTCAGTTCATAGTGCTAGAAGGTGACACAGAATGCATAGACACTTCTACCTTCCACCCACCTGATGAGTAAACAGAGGATAAGGCAAAGTGATGGAAAGAGGATCAAACCATTCCTTAAATTTTGCTATAGGAGCCACAAACGTCACTAAAAGCCAAAAGTTAAAAAAATCAGGACTGGGTTGAGATGATGAGTTGGCAATATCAAACATTTAAGTTGGTAACTGGCAAAGTCCCACAAGCAAGGGTCTCCAGCAGCAATCACAGATGCCGTCCCAGGAAGAAGAACTGGGCTTCAAAATGATAGCCTTCTTCTCGCCTCAGCTGACCCCCACCTTACATGATGGGGCTCTTGAGATACTGACCGCAAATCAGCTTACAAGTATGGGCAGTATTTGTTCATGTATTAGCTCTGTGTTCCACCGGGCTTTTGCAAATAGCAGCGGTTTTTCCAACGAGAGGGAGAGAGGCCTAACTGGCTCATGACAGCTCATTTCTTGTATCGGAATGAATTAAGCAAAGGTGTGTTTAAGAGGTGGGATTTTTTGGTGGTCTTGTCTTCCTCAGGATCTCAGAACATACACAATTTTTCTAGTTTCTGCATCACGAACCCAAGTGAAAACTCAGTTGAGGATGCAGAGGTTTACCTGCTGACCAGTTCCTAAAGGAGGAAGAGGCTTTCTTTCCCCTAATCTAATGCTGTTGTCTTGACTCACTTGTATATGCCAATCTGAATATGGTTACCCAAGGCAACACAGGCATGTCTTCCCTTTCAGTGATGCTCAGCTAGGAGCCAAAAAGTCCACTGTCCACCCAACAGCAGTGATATACCCAGTTATTTCTGTAATCTCATGTTCTCCTCCATTTTTTCCAAATGAAATAATCTCTAATCTAGGTGACTCTTGGTGGATATAACACAATGATTAAAAAAACGTAGAAACTCTGATATTTGGCACATTTAACATTTTGTGAAAATTAGGGTGTTTCTCATCAACTGGTCAAGCTATCTCTAGTAATGGAAAAAGGAAAGTAAGAGATCTGAGTTGAACCAAAAACTGTCTGCCAAAAACATACACAAAATGCAGTTAATTGAGCATTTGGGAGCAGAAAGGATGAAGCTTTCTGTGGGCTTTTGCCCTCTTTGTTGCTGAGTTGAGGTCAGTGTGGGATAGGCAAGATGCTGGGTCAACAGAAAGTAGCTATGCAGAGATCTCCCTCCCAAAAGAATGCCTCACAGGAAAGGAGCCTCCCATTAGAGCTATGTGGTCCTGAAGAGAAGACACTACAGCTAGTCTGAGCAGCTTTTCTGTAAGCACAGGAATGTAATTCTGGACACTCCATGTCTGCCTAGTAGTAGAGAGGACTGGAGGGCCCATTCTCTGGGGTTAAGAACTTTGTTGACTCCTGCAACTGTGAAGGCAGCTTGAAATGGAACTGTACCTACCAGGCGGGAAGAGACATTTCAGTTCTAACTGCCACCTGCCTTATACATGTGGCCAGCTTGCTTTAAAATGAGGGCACATGCTAACAAACATCTTGCTGAATATGGCAATGCAGTCCTAATTTAGGAGTATTTATGGTAAAGGTAGAAGTGGAGCATTTGTCTTAACGGGGAACCAACTGAACTGGTTAAATATGATCAGATTAGCAGCAATAGACAGTAGTAGACTCAACCAAGAACCAAGACTCTTGGTATGACATAATCTTGGCTACATTAATCCAAGGCCTATTACACAGAGTTATGTTCTGAGGCCTGGCAGCATCAGCATCACGTGGCAGCTTGTCAGAACCACTCACTCTTAAGTCCCACCCCAGAACTTCTGAATCAGAATATGCATTTTCCCAAGATCCCCAGGTGCTACTTCTGCACACTTAAGGTTGACAAATACTGACACACACCATGGACTACCTCAACTAAAGACCGGTGTCAGTAACGGCTCAGGGAGGAGAGAAACAGCCAGCTTCTAGCTACGCCTACTAGTTTCGGAGAGAATAGTTCCAAGTTATACGTACCAATCTTCACTGCCAGTAGATCATGTGTGGTGCACAGAAATGGCATAGAGACAAGAGGACAAAAGTTGCCCTTCACAGGCCTGAGGTCTAAGGTTCAGCTGAAGCTTCAGAGTAAGAGTATCAAATGATTTTATTATGAAAGATAAGCCATTTACCGACCACTTTCCTAAAAAAAACACAAATGTGAGAATAAAGTCAACATACGTAAGACTCACTAGCCCCCGCAGGACAGAAAGCAGCTCTGGACAGAGAGCCTGCAGATGAGTTTCCTTATACCTCATGTCTGAACTTTTCACATATTCTAGGATTTCATGTTTTGTTACCTATGACAAAGGAAAGGAAACTGGCTAGAAGATTCATGTACAAGAAGGTCACAACTTTAAAGCTATCTGATGCTAATGACTTGTACAATCTAGTTGGGAACTCTGAGAGACAATATCAAATAAGCACTGTTAAATACCACCCCCAGTTAACCTTTACTGTCATTGTTCTTTCAAACCGTCTTTGGGATTGGTTCTATTCTCTCACTGTAGCTTTTGTTTATCCCAGAGCACAAACCCTAAAGTCCATGTGCAGTCTCCATGTTCAAGTAAAGTCTGTTTCAGGACAACCCTGGGTTGCTGTAGTGTTTCTCTCTCTGTAGTGTCTACTTGGTGTCACACCCCTGGACAGAGGACCAAATGGCAGCACAATGCAGGGGGTGACATGGTCAACTTCCCTGCTGCTGAACTTGCTCCCCTTTCAATCTGTTTACTGCCCATAGTCAAGGTTGAAATCTTTAGACCAGTGACGACCTTGGCCTATCTTCAGTCTGAAGTTGTTCTCTTATGTAACCGAATCCATTTCTTCGCCTAAAATGGAGCTTTCAAAAGGTGACAGGCATATTCTAAAAAGGAAAGATAATATCAAAATGTTATTTATTGATGAGAGACTGTATCCACTTACTTTTATGTTCCTAAAGGAATTTGCAATTAAAAAGAAAAACTTAAAATGCATGTTTTACACTCCATATTGGATTCAAGGTCTTCTCTCAGTAGAAGCACAAAAAACAATCCCGATGCTCTTGCATTGTTCATCACTGACGCTCAAAATGCCCTAGTGAATTCACCTCACTTACTAAGAATAACAGACATCTCAAAGAGTCTTAAAAAGAGAACACTAACATCAGAATGAGGGGATAAAATCTACCCCAATGGTCAGCAACAATGGCTAAGAGTCCACTGTTAACTTTATCACTGCTCATACTGTCTCCCAAAATCTGCAAAAAGCATTCTTTTGTACATCTACAGCTGTTTAAAATTACATGTAATTCCAAATTTAATTGAAAAAAGGGAGAGTGTTACTAACAGAAAAATCCCACAGTAATCGATGGTGGTAAACAAACTCCTTCTAACTCCATGGAAATCCAGTCGCACCCAAAGCAGACTCTGAATCCCATTTAGAATACCACTTCAGAAAGCACTGCTTGATTTTATATAAAACTGCAAGCCCAAGTTAACTCACATCCAGGGGAGAGACTTCTTTAAGCATTTCAGAAAAATAAGACTTTCATTTGAATCTCCCTTACACAGACCAATCATCTCAGCTGGTTTCTAATAAAGCATCTATTCAGAGCTTACATGTTTAGCTCTAGTGGAACAGAAACTCAGTCACTGACACAGGAAAATGCTACTAATTAGTTCTCAGTAAAAAATGACTCATAACAGTAGAAGACCATCTGTAGTAAATTCTTTCTAAATGATCCTCAATTATGGCTTACCCCATTCCTATCCATTTTACATATCTACGTGACAGAAATGCATGCTCCTGGGCAGAAGACAGGATACTAGACCTTAGGAAGTGTCCTGAGATGGAGCTGGTGGGTCCTGGCCGTCGGGCTCTGGAGGGGGTGCTGGCACAGCTGCTTTTTTCTGGGCTGCCAGGAACTCATGAATTGCTCGTTCTATTTGTGGCCTGAAGATGTGGTTTAGTTTTGGATCCACCACCTGAGAAATAATCCTGTCTACTCCAGCTTCCAACATCCCTGACCTTGTGGAGACAAACAGATCATTCTGTTATTTAGTTCCTTGGGGATTATCTTTAGCTTCAATAAATATCATGTGGGAGCCCAAAAAATGCCCACCTTCAAAGCTACAGCCCTTCTAGGGAGTTCTTTTAGAGGGCAATCCACTTAACACATAGAGCTCAAGCTGTTATTTTCACTTTTGAGGGACAATTCTCAACTACCAGCTGTTATTCCTAATGCACAATCTCAACCAAAATCACCCAACCTTGTACAAAGGAATCAAAAAAAGCCTAAGTGGGCTGCTCCAAAGACAAGAAGCAAATGACAGGATGACAAGAAAGAACTTGATACATGTGGCACTGAAAAGCTTCATCATACTGTCAAAGCCAGTGAGCCTAGAATTTGACTCCACTTCCTTCAACATTTATTCTCTTAATAGCCTAAGTAGAAGTAGCTTCAGCAGCAACCTGTTTACTAATCCTCAAATCTTAAACAAGGCAGATCAGTCAGGGTTGAGAGTATTTACACCACCAGCAATTCATCAGGGCCTTCAGCTGCGGCTGCTACCTGTTACCTAATAGACAACTTGGAGGCAAACAATAAACAGACAAGAAACAAATGAGTTCCAAGCTCCTAGGGGGTTAAATTACATCCCCAATCCATTCTGAACTAGATCAAAAATCAAAGCATATCAATGTCTATATTCAAACACTTAGGATAGGGTACTGGGAACGATGGTGACAGGAAACAAATCATATTTGGACAGTCTGGAAAACAGCCCATAAGGTTCAAAGTGAAGTGTTCTCAAAGGATTGAAATATTCCAATACCATCACAAGCATGTGGGCAGGTTTTACTTATTTTCCTGTAGACTTGAGACTTCTGTGGCCATTTAAGCCTTTGGGTAAAAATAGGCTGGACAGGAACCGGGCAAATGGTCTGTCAGGGTACAGCAAAGGAAAAACATGAGTAAATGTACATCATGACAAAGACGAGAAACAGGCCCTCAACTGGGAAAGATTATTAATGTGTAAAGTGCTTCCTGGATTCAACGGTAACTAATAGCTTATCGACAGGAAGCCTAGATGTAAACACACCACCATTAGAGCACTGAAGGGCACATTTTCAGGTAGACCAGGAATTAGACAGTATCCACCCTAAGCGATGAGCATTGTTCAGTACAGCAAAGTTAGCAACAGGCTATGGGTCAGTTACAAAGCAAAGCCACCTCTCCTCAGTCACAAGCCAATACCTTTCCAACTTTAATCAAATCTTTCTGAGTCAGATTCACAGGGGTCTTTATTAGATGTAAAAGCCTGACATTATGAACTGAATGCCCCCCCCCAAACTTCCTATGTTGAAATCTAATCTTTAATGTGATGGCATTTGGAGGTAGGGCCTTTGGGAGGGGATTGGGTCATGAGGGCAGAGTCTTCATGAATGCAATTTATGCCTTTACAAAAAGGACCCCAGAAAGTTAGCTAGCTCTTTGCACCACATGAGAAGAACAAGTAGCAGACTGCAGCCTGGAAGAAGGCCATCACCTGAACCTGACCATGCTGGCATCTTGGTCTTGGACTTCCAGCCTCCAGAATGATGAGAAGTAAATTTCTGTGGTTTACAAGCCACCTAGTCTACGGCACTTTGTTAAAGCATCCCCAACTGACCAAGACTCCTGATCAGGGAAAACAAAGTACTAAGAGAGTGCAGCTCACTCTCCTGGAGAGTTCTAAAGCTTTTGAGAAAAACGTAAAATCTTGTCGGGAGCCTAAAGTAGAAGATGGAATGAACAAATATTGTATAGTTAAAAGAGTTATTCGTCATAATTCAGTTCAATAATAGAGGCCAATTTCCTGTTAAACCTTCAAGGCGGTGGCACTGGGTTACAGCATCTGGACCAGAAAAGGCCAGTGGGCCAATGCTCTGAAGGCCTGCAGTGTCCATCTGGGGAGAGCAGCACCCTGGGGCAAGCAGAAAGTCTGCGTTTCAAAACTCCAGTAGATTTTGCCTCAAAATCAAAATGCTAGCAAGAATCGTGGAGAAATGTCCCAGTATTAAAGCCAAGTTCATGTTTTCAGGGTAAATACATTCTAAGTCAAATCAAAAAGCATGAAAAAAATCTTCACAGAGGTGGTAAAAACTATGAAGAGAAGTAAAGAAATGATTAGCATAAAAGTCAGGAGACTTTTGAGTGGGGGAAGGTATGTCCAGGGCTAGGCCATTTTGGAGGGTGTGAGTCCATTTCTCAGCCTGAGTGGTGATCAAGGGGTGTTCTAATTATTTGTTTTACTGTACTTCTGTGCACTTTTCAGAATTACAGTTCCTACTAAAGAAATGCAAAAAGAACATGCATGTCCCTAGAATGACACCCATGCTCATTATGGAAATCAACAGCAATGTAAACAGCCTTCACACAACTATGGCGACTTTCCAAATATTTCAAAATGTTCAGTGTTTTGATTTACTCAATATGCTGGCCAGTCCTTTAAAAGACAGGGTAAACACAAGTAACTTCAGCTGTGAAACAGGCTATTCGTGAGGATGAGTGATATATGTAAAGACCAGTGCCAGACATGTAATAAAGACTTGCATAGTAAGGGGCAGCTACTGTCCCTTTCTTTCTGAAAGAGCCTGGTGCCACCAGTCTGCTTTCTGGAAAAAGGGAAAGGTGCTCAGTGCTGACTCCAGAATGATAAGGCACTGGGCATCTTCGGATATCAGGCTTCTTCCCAGCATTCAGCCATATTGAAACTACTAGCACGCTAGTAAAACTTCTTTAAAAAACTTCTTAAAATCACTGCAGATTCACAGGAAGTTGCAAAGAAGTATGCAGGGAGTTCCACACGCACCTTCACCCAGCCACCTCTAATGTTAGCACCTTGTGTAACTACAGTGCAATATCAAAACCAGGAAAATGACACTGGTCCAATCCAGACTGTACTGAGACTTCCGTTACACATACACTCATTTGTGTAACTCTGTGCAACTTTACCATGAGTTGTTCCACGTAAGCACATTTCAGATACTTGACTGCACCATTGACTACACCATCGCAAGTTCCCCTCGTGCTACCCCTTTCAAGCCACACTCACCCCCCTCCTCCCATCCCTAACCCCAGGCAATCACTAATGTGTTCTCCCATTTCTGTAACTGTTAGCTCATGAATGTTATGACCAGATTCCATGACCCTCCTCCACTTTTGTGCCCAGTGACAGTGAAAAGTCACTCAGATAAGCTATCAATAGCACCTTTATTAAATAAGGTTCAGTTTGTTACTGTGAAGTAACAACACGTTATTAAGACCATGCCTTCCTGAAAGCTGCCACCATTACACTTTAGAGGTGGCAGCCCCGGTGGACTCAAAGAATTTATTTAACTCACATTCACCTGTAAGAATAAAGATCCAACTCCTCTTGCCCAAGATCCAAGCCCTGATATCTTGGTATAAAACTCACGTATATGTTCAGATGACACTGAAACTTCAGAAAGCAGGGAACATGTCTCACAGTTTGGAATGTCTTTCAATGCACCCGGTAGAGATGTGCACACAGGAGGCCTACACAGGCTGTAGAAACTGGAATTTCAATTTCAATTGAAATTGAAAGTACTTTGCTTACTTTAACCTTAAATGTAATAAAGGAGCAGACTGCTGCAACTCCCAAGTGATACTTCATACAACGTCCCATCAACCTTGACTATACAGAGATATCAACCTTCTTGGGCATCACACTTGTGATTACTGCCTTTTCAAAAGCTTTAAATTCTGCTTACTTACTGAACCACACTCTGCCTCAGACCATTTCGCAATTGGTTTTTGTTCATTGTAGGATTCCATTCCTGCTTGTCCAGATGTGTTGACACAAAATTATCCACTTTCTGCCTCAGGTTTTGGTAAGCTGGCTAAAATGTTAAAAAGAGGAGGCAAGGTCATAAGTTATATCACCAAAGTTTTGAACTTAAGTCACTCAGAACATTGCTTTTCACAGAAACATTAATGTCAAGTCTAAATACGCTTTCACTGAGCATGAAGATCACCATGCAGTGTGGCAGCCATGAACTAATGGTTAACACAAGTGCCCACTTTAGGGTGGGTGGGCACAATGCCAGGTGCTTTACTTATATTATTCCATCTACTTTTCAAGTAACTACATGCAGCAGGCCTGACGTCAACCCACAGCGTGGACCCACACCTGGGGAGCCTGCAGCCGAGCCACCAGCTGAGCCCTCCTAGCTCAGCTGAACTTTGGTTGACCTGCCACCCCATGAGCATGTGAATAAGTGCTGGTTTCAAGCTGCTGAGATTCAGTTTGTTATGCAGCATTACTGTGGTAAAGTTTGCTAACAGGCAGTGAAATGAAGTTGACAAAGGAACCAGGAGGCCTCAATTCCATGAGTGGACTCTTCTGAAAGACTGAGAGAGCAAACTCAAAGACTCCACTGGAAAAGAGAAAGGCAAGGAGATGGGGGCAGAGGACTAACATTCACAGATACCATGTGCTATCTGCCTAGTAACGCCTTCTTCCTAGTAAATGTCTTCCTCTCTTCACAAGTGAAGGGCAGAGGGTGCCACAGGAGTGGGTGCCTGAGCCATACTAAGACAATGCAGACATTTCCTGGGATTTCCCAAATTGGAGCTGACCATCTGTCTTGAGAGGAAGAAGCTGCAAGATGTAATCAAGAGATAATAGTAACCAAATGGATGACTCCACTCTGAAGCAACAGAGAAGACAGACATAGAACAAGTGGGGAATATTTGGTTCCAAATGCATGCCTACCCTCTGGCAGAGTTTGTTCAATCCTTCCATGGATTTCATGAGACAACAGATTCTCCCCTTTGCTTAAAGCAGGATGATTTTTGTTCCCTGTAAGCATAAATCCTGATACCATACATTCTACTAAAAATAACTCATTTGGTTTGAGATGATACCAACTGTTTACTGAAAAAGGACAAAGGACAGTGAACATCAGTACCAAAACATGTAACAAACCCAGGTGATACAGAATAATCTCAGTTCATGAAGTCAAAGGAACTCATGAGCCCACCCATAACGTTTTAGTGTTACTACCTACCCCATCATCTGTTCACTTATCAGTTTGTTCTATTTGTTTTGGGATGCATTGCAAAGTAAATTATAGACATCTGTTTGGTTCCCCCTAAATACTTCAGCAGTCTGGAGTGGGGCCCAAAATGTGCATTTCTAACAAGTTCTCAGGTGATGCTGATGTTGTTAATCCAAGCACCACACTCTGAGAACCACTGGGCTACAGCAACAAAGGTCTCAGATAAGATATGCCTGAAAAAACATTATCTTCAAGAATTAAAACCTGTAATTCCCAGAAGGAACAGCTAAGGAGCTGTACATGGGAAGGTTCCAACCACTACTGGTCCGCTCAAAATAGTAGTACAGTCCCTCTCAGGGGATACATTCCAAGACCCCCAGTGGGTGTCTGAAATCTCAGGTAGCACTAAACCCTATATACACTACACATGAATTTCTCTGGGGGCCACTACGAAGTAAAATAAGGGCTACCTGAACACAAACACTTCCATATTGCAACAACTGGGTAAATGAAACCGCAGTAAGCAAAACTTGGATGGGGTGGGCTACTGTAATCGTTTTTGTTTTAAAATCACAGGCACACATTGATTAAGCCACACAAAACCAAATGGAATATAAGCAACATGAATGGAGAACTTGTCCTAGGGTGAAAGCTGTCAATACATATCTGGGATGTCTACGTATTGAACAAATTACTTTGTTTCAAGGCCATTTCTAGTTGGGCTTTTCATTTTGGAAAAGTAACAAGTGTATACCACTTTCTCTCTCTACATATGTATTTACTACCCGGTTTACATGTCAGTTTTCTATCCCAGATCCTAAGCTTTGAGGACCGGGTAGTGACTTACTTGTTCCTGTACTCACATAGCTTGGCAACTGTAGGCCAATAAACGTTCAACAAATAAACAGACGAGGTTTGACCCTATCTTAAGGTCTAATTCTAAGCTCAGTCTTGCTGTGAGGTAAGCAAAATGTTTCCATGACAGGCTCTGGTAGGAGAAATCACTACCCTATAGGAGTCCAGTCAGTGACAAGTCTCCTTAACCTACAACCACAGTCGTGGAGTTTCGAAAAGGGAGAAACAACATTCCAGAGACTACTGTATGTCTAACACTTAGCACCCATTATTTCATTGAATCCAAACCACCCTGACAAGTAAAATGAAAGCGTTTTATCGGTGGGACGGACCTATGGCATTAGGATCTAGGCTCCAAATCCCCTTTAATCAACGATGAAGTGCAGAATAAGGGTGCTGTTTCTACAGTTTACCTTAATTCAACGGCGCACTAAAGTCTGCAAAACAGCGCTAGAAAAAAGGAATAAATGGCTATAAAATGGTGATGACTGTGTGTTCAAATCATTGTGTTTAATGTCAGCTTCTCAGTGGTGAGTACGGAACAGGTGGAAATTCTAAAGCACTCTTGCTTATCTACTTGGTTTCGAAGTTCGTTACTAAGGGGCTCTGAGGAGTTCCAGCTTGGGAATGATAGGGTCTAGGCTCTAAAACCCACATTGAAACCCCAAGTTTGGAAAAGCGAATGGTTAAGATCACAGCTAGTAGTAAATAACGAAGAAGGAAACCCACGTGTGCATGGCTCAAAAAGCTCTCCGTACTGCCCCAAGCGGTGTAGGACCTCACTGCTGAGATTTTTAAACCTATCTTGTTTTGCTCTCGACTTTGGAAAATCAAAGCTGCAACCCGGCAGCCTCACGTGCAGCCCCGCTCCCCTCAGCCCAGGCGGCCTCAGCTACCTTTGTGTCCACGTCGGCCAGGCAGTCCCGGCGGAAGCTGTCAAAGAGGCCCCGGCTCTTGAGCTGCTCCACGATGAGGGCGATGAGCTGCGGGTCGCCGGGAGGCAGCGAGGCGGGGTTGATGGGGCCACCGCCCCCGCCGGCCCCAGTAGCGCCAGTCGCTGCCCCGGCAGAGGCCTGGCCCGCTCCGCCGCCGCCCACCGCGCCCGTTCCCCCGCCGCCGCCGCCGTCCGCCATGGCTGCGCCCCAGGCCCACAAAGGAGACCGACTATAGCTTCTTCTCCAGGACAGAAGGTCTAGAATGTGTAGAGGCGGCGAAGGGGGCGGTGAAGGGGAAGGGCCCCACGGAGGCAGCAGCGGAGATGATGGTGGTGGTGGCGGCAGCGGCGATGGCGGCGGGGGCGGTGGTGGGGGCGGCGGGGGCGACTGCCAGCTCTGAGGCTGCACAGGTTGTGGTAGACGCGGCAGAAACTCCCTCCTCGATTCTAGGCGCGCCCCAGATGGCGTCATCGTTGACCTTTGCATTGTGGGGCGGGAAGTTTTCTCTAGCCATCTCCGGTGTTCTTTATAGGCAGCACCCTGGCCAAAGGAAACTACAACTTCCGACAGGGCTCAGGCTTGCTCCCTGCGATTTCGCGAGGGCAGTATGGGAATTGTAGGCACAGGCCTCATGAGCGCGGCAAACCGCGGGGCCTTCCCCGCCCACTCTGCAGACTTCCCATTCATCAACACATCCCAGCAGTGCGTGATTGTAACAGTCATCTGTGGAGCTGATTAAAAGTATAGATAACCAGGATTATTTCTTAAAGATTTTGATCCAGTATTTATGGGTCGGGACCTAGGAATCCGTGCTTTTAGCCTGCACTCCCACTTCCTTCTTGAACAACATGATCCAGGACATTCCGGAAACAGTGGAATAGTCAAACTTCTATTTGTTCAGAAATTTGTGGGTTTCCCTCCTTTTGGTTTTAATAGCAGTGCATAAGTGCATACTCATTTTAGAAAATTGGAAAATAACAGAAAAGTGTGAAGAAGAAAATAAAAGTTTTCCTTAAATCTCTCATATATGTGTGTGTGTGTGTTTCCTCCCAAATATTAACTATTGCCAATAATAGTGAGCCAATATTGAATAATTTTAAAATGCCAGGCGTCATGCTATGCACTTTACACTCACTACTTTGCAATAATCTAAAAAGCAGATACATACTTATATTATTGCTGTTTACAGATGTAGAAATTGAGGCAGAAGAAAATTTGTTAACCTAATCACATACCCAGAGGTAGAAGAGTAGGATTTGATCCCAGGTTTTGAGGATCTATATCTTGCATGTTTCGCCTAAGGTATCCTAAAAGCTAGCTGGTATCACACAATAGGTAAGGCTTTATATCCTGATTTTTAAAAATAGCCACAATTCACCATTGGAATCCCATAGCTGCCACCATTATCCTCTCTTTCCTTCATCTTTTGCCTATTGTTAGCTCAGCTCCTGCTCCCAACCTCAGCAATTATGTCTGCTATTGTTATTTCCTCATCTTACACATAGAGGGAATAGAGGGAATGTAAATAGCAAATTCTGCAATGTCTTTGGTTCCTGGGGAGATGCAGAATTGGTAGAGATCCAGGATGTTCTCCACACCAACATTTAGTACTTAAGAAAGTTAAAAAAAAAATTTTTTTTTGAGACGGGGTCTCACTCTATCCCCCAGGTTGGAGTGCAGTGGTGCAATCTCAGCTCACTGCACCCTCTGCCCCCTGGGTTCAAGCAATTCTCCTGCTTGGGCATTCCAAGTAGCTGAGATTACAGGTGGGCACCACCACACCTGGCTAATTTTTGTATTTTTAGTAGAGACGGGGTTTCATCATATTCGCCAGGCTAGTCTAAAACTCCTGACCTCAAGTGATCCACCCACCCGGACCTACCAAAGTGCTGGGATTACAGGTGTGAGCCACCATGCTGGCCAAGGGAGCTTAAATTAACCCTCAAAAGAAATATTCAGGTGTTAGATTATACTCCTCCTCTAACACCAGCTCAATCATTCACAGTGGGTCAGTTAATGACGAACACTCTCTCTTAATAGCTCACCATCCTTGAGATTACCTAATGTCTGTTCCTACTGGTTGACTCCACACTGATCACTCACATTTAGCCCCAGGAGAAGTCCAGTTCAGGCTGACTCAGCCCCAGGTCCTTTTTTCTCCAAGCCCCTGATCACTATCACTAGCCCCTTCTCCATTTTTGGCACACCACATCTTACTCTCCTTCCTCAGGGAAAATTCTTCTGACCCCTAGATCCAATGAGATCTTTCCTCCATGCTATGGACGCTCAAAGTCTCATTTTTTGTAGCAATTATTATAATTGGAAGTGAATAATTTACAGACTAATTGGCCACCTGTGTCCCCTGATAGAGTGTCAGATTTAGAATGGAGACCATGACTTGTTCACCACTGTGTCTCCAGTTCTTAGCATAATAGTTCTTAGCTCAAAGTGAACGTATAAATTCCTGTCTGTTTCCTAAAGCTGTGGGATAGTGTCACAGAGTGTGTGGGTGGGATTATGTATAGTCATAATCTTCAGAAAAGAAGGAGCATTCTAGCATGAGATGATGGATGAATCTGTCCTGTCATGATTTAATGAGTAAGTGATCCTGGAGATTGTCTGCACATGGTTCACACTGTAACAATTTCACTGTGTGTCATGGGGACCTGTGTCCTGGTTGCTGGGTCCCTGAACGTTTGGAAGATGCTGCATTCTATATCTATGACTTTCCCTCCGGAATTTATGTAAATCGTGAGGGATAAAAGGGGAAGGGGTTGAGGAATGAAGGTGACCAAGCTGAAGCAAGGCTTATTATTTATCCAAACTGTGGAATAGGAGGCCTCCAGAACATCCAGAATGTATTCTTCCCCAGTCAAGACACATGTAATACACACCAGCAGTCATCAGAGAGCGCCATTGCTGTATTAATAATCCAAAACATTCAGAAATGTCTGTGCAGAATATTGTTTTAACTTTGGCCTAGGTAGTAATCTTGTTTTCAGGTATCATTTATATAGCAAATTGTTGTTGCTTCTCAGTGTTAAAATTTGCCTGTAACAAGTTGCCCGACTGCAAAGAATTACACATTAGGTGCTGGAATATTTTTTGTCAAAGGCTCGATAAAACAGTGGAACCTCCACAAGCCCAAATCTAGACCTCACCCAAACTGGAGAAGAAATGAGATCTATCGTTTGCCGAGGGAGGCATGAGAAAGTAGTCAAATGCATGGACTTTTTGCATTGGGTGACACTGGATTGGAATCCCAGCTGGCAAAGTTGATCAGCCCTCTGAACCTTAGCTTCTCCAGGACAGTGGAGAGGCTTAAGTGCCATTTCGGCAGCTCATTTTAGCACAATTCTGGTCTTTAACAAATGTTTAATAACATCGTCACCAACTTACATTTGGGTCAGGAGATGACTTAATTAACTTCTATTTCTCCTCTTAGCCTCTAAATTCCACAAAGGTAGGGATTGTCTGTTACATTCATCATTGGATCCCTAGCACCAAGAACAGTGCCTGGGACATCAGGCTCTCCACAAATACATGATGGATGAATGAAAAAAAAAAGGATGAGTGAATGGGAAATTTACTCTTCTAGGTATAGGATAAGGCCATTTAACACTTTTGATACTGCCCTGGACCAAATGTCAGAATATAGTCAATATTCAGAGGGGTCAAGTACAATCTAGGGATCTGTCCATAACATGTGACTAAACTGGACTAAGAGTCAGGGTTTAGAGCAGGCCCAAGGTCAGATCATCTGGGAGTTGTCTTGGTAACCCTCCAACCTTCTAATCGAAGATCCTAGTCCTGCAGCAAGAGCATCCAGAGCCCTAAGACTGAATACAGGGCTGCATTTAGACACCATACCTGCTTGGGGTAGAGTAGTTATTGGTCTTTATTTGCGATCATGAGGTGTCTCTTTTCCTTCTTGCCTGTGTATATTCATCCAAGGAGTGTTGCCAATTCTTAGTCAGGATAACTGTTCATTTCTTAATTAACAGCATCCAGAGTTTCTTGACATTGCCTCTCTGCAGCATTTTGGCTACATCTGCACCGTCTGATCCCTGCTTCTTTTTATCGTTTGTTTCTTTTTGATGTTTTCCATCGTCTCTAATGATAGATTGGATCCGATACACATTACAAAGAAACAGGGCTTTAATAAACAGAAATCCCTAGCACCAAGCAACACCACTACCGTCTCTCCAACCAAATACGCATCTTGGACAAGATTTCACGTCACTGTGTTTTTAACACATTGTCATGTCACATTAATATTACTAAAGGATGTATAGTAAAAGACGCAACCTGACATAATACAGAGAAAAAGGTGAAACATTTGGAGTTTGGTTTAGGTTTGGATCCAGCACCTCTGTTTATTGGCTGTGTGACCTAGGGCAATCCATTAGCTAGTCTGGACCTCCATTTGTTCATCTGTAAAGTGGGGAGAGTGATACCTAACTTGAAGAGCTATCACAAAAATTAAAAGACAGTATGTGTGGGGAACCTGACGCACAGTAGGCCCTCAATAGCTAATAATGTGGCCTCAATACAACAGCCTGATGTATTTTATTGTAGCCCATTATTGGGCAGAAATCTTAGCTAATGTGTATTTAGTTAATACTAATAAATGTATACTTTGATAGTTTCAATCTTATGATGACGTAGGGGTTGACTCAGCCAGTCTCTAAACTGGTGGACTCAGTGAAGCCAAGTTCATGGCCAAGTCCTACATGCTACTGCTGCTGGGTCTGGGTCCGTCCTCTACCTTTGTCTTCACACTTTGTGTTCTCTAGCAATACTCCCTCTGCCTCCAGTTACTTCTAATTGCCTACCTAATATCCATTTGCCCTAGTTTGTAAACAGGACCCAATTTTGTTTGGGGCTGCAGCATGTCTGGCTAAAGTACATACATCTGTGATTTCCTTGTTGCTAAGAGTGACTGTAGGGCCCAGTTCTGGTTGAGGAGAGAAAAACTGAGGGTTTCTGGGAAAGCTTTGTGTTGCCGATAGAAGCACCACTTCTTTCTGCTGTAGCATCCTTCCTTCTTCCTGCATAGAGGTTCCGCGCTCAAGAACCAGCACCCTAAGGGTTAGTTGGCGCCATGTAACTAGTTCTGGCCAAAGAGTTGTGAGCGGAAGTGATTTCTGGGCCAGGCCATTTTCATAGCAACACGAGACCTTCCAGAGCTCTCTTTCCACCTGCCACAGTAACCAGGACAATTGGAGATGATGGCTAATCTATCGTCCTGGGCCTCAGAGTGAGGGGACATGGAGCAGAGTGAGATAACCCCAGATAACCTGACATGTAGCATGAGTGAGAAAGAGGCCTTTTGTTTTAAGCCACTGAGATTTGGAGTGTGACTGCAGCCTAACCCAGCCCATCTGACTATTACAGCCCTGACCACGTCCCTCCGCTAAACCCGTCACTTCTGGAAT